AGCCGAGAGAGGACGTGAAACAAAAGGAATGAATGCAGGGACAAAAGGAGAGAAGCATTTTGCTTCTTTCTAAAGCGACGCTGCAGAAACGTCAGATTCTCTGCAGCTCTGTTTCCTGTTGTATCAAGAACTAAAAGCCTGTAGAACAAGCTGAAGTATGCTGCTGAGGTGCATTTTCCCGCAGCTTGTAAAGCTTTATGGTCTCATTAGGTGGCCTTCTTTACTTTTTCTTGAACGTCACTGTGTTCTCTGACCTTTACATTTCATTTGGTTTTTGTTTCAATGCCACAGAAGTGTAATAATTCTGCTCAAGATTTCAGTTCAAATTTTTATTACTCAGCTTTCTAACATACCTGTTCAGTTTCCCTATTTGTATTTTTTTTAATCACCAGGACTTATAAATTTATATCTTGTAGGGCAAGCTGTTTCAAATGTAACTTTTTTTTCCAGCTGTTTGATATTTTAGCCCAAAACACACTCAGTGTCTCTTAGAAGTTGTTAAATGCACATTATCACTAAAACCTTGTTTCAAAGCATTAATTATTCTACTTATCTGTCGTGGATTAAGTGTCAAAGAAAAATGTAATTAGGAGCCACAATTATGTTTAATCTTTCAAACATATCAACTTTTAGTTTTCATAATGACACAGCTTGTTCTGCTAATCTAAACAAAATAATAAAATAAAACACTCTCCAGTCGTGTTATTGTCGATTTAGAGACATCTGAGGATTTCAATTAACATTCAGAATGCAGTTTTTTCTTGTTTGGACTCTCTCCATCATGATGATTGATGTTAAGTGCCGTCTATCAGCAAGAAGAATAAGGCTGTCGTTGACTCGTTTTCTGTTCATCCATTAAAACATGACCAGATTTGTATCTTTGTATTTTGTTTACACATTATTGTTTAAAATGAGCAATTGATATTTTTATCTGAAGGTACTTTTTTAGACATCAATAAAGCCTCTGAAAACATTTGTATGAAAAAGCTTTCTGTTGTTTCACTTTTGTTTGATGATAATACCTAAGGAGAAAATCCATCCGTCCATTATCTTTTACCTGCTTTTTCCATTTTGGGTCACGGGGGTCACCGGTGCCCATGTCCAGCAATCACTGTGCGGGGGGCGGGGTACACCCTGGACGGGTCGCAAGTCCATCACAGGGACACATAGAGACAAACGACACAAAAAACTATTCACTCTCTCACTCACACCTAGGGACAATTTAGAGTTACCAATCAACCTAACATGCATGTTGTGGTCTGTGGGAGGAAATTTGAGTACCCGGAAAAAACCCATGCATGCATGGAGAGAACATGCAAACTCCACCCAGAAAGGCCCCCAGACTGGGATTTGAACCAAGGACCTGCTCACTGAGAGGCAGCAGCTCTACCAGTTGCGCCACCGTGCTGCTGTTAACTAAATAGAAAATTTCATCTGAAATTTTAAACGATGCCAAAGCAGCTACTGCATATCTGCATATCAAATTTACTCAGTAAAAATGGTAAGTTAGAATTTACTCTGGTAATAACCTAGGCTGACAAAATGTCACCATTTTGATGCATGAACTCTAGAAGTATGAAAGAAAGAATAAACTAGATTAAAAACAAAATAGTAATTGTTGTTAGTAATAATAAACACACACCTGTGTGTCGTTCTCTTAACACACACCTGTGTGTCGTTCTCTTAACACACAGGTGTGTGTTTATCTTGATAAATAACACACCTGTGTGTCATTCTCTTAACACACAGGTGTGTGTTTATCTTGATAAATAACACACCTGTGTGTCATTCTCTTAACACACAGGTGTGTGTTTATCTTGATAAATAACACACCTGTGTGTCTTTCTCTTAACGGCTTTGTTAATAAAAACAGGCAGACAAAAACACGGAGCAGAAAGTAATTGTCAAAGGTTAGAAGGCCAAAGACTGTAATATTGGAAAAGCTTCTTAAACAGTAAGTGGTAGAAGCTTCTGGTTGCCACATTCATTCATTCATTCAGTCATGCATGCACATATGTTCGTACACACGATGTTTCATATAGGAGATTAAACAAATTACAAAGACCCTTCATGTTTGATTTTGAAGAGTGGTCAGAACTCAGAGAAAGTGAAGTTCAAGGAGACTTTAGTTGTGTTCTGTCTGCACTCAGGGGATTTATAAAATAATAAATAAAAAAAGTAAGTACTGCAGTATTGGGAGACTTATTGGATGAACAAATACAGAAACATTGATGTATAAAAAGTATAAAAAGTGTAAAGGTTGTGCGAATAAGAATAATTTGTTTACAGAAATTTAGGTAACTATTGATAGTTCAAAAATAAGAGCACAACATTTCAGTGAACTGCACATTTTCTGATAAATTCATTGAAATTCACTAAATTTGAATTGTGATTTCTGTAAAAGACATTGACGATATGAAAATGGTAGTTTAGCCATCAGAAGTCCAACTTTCTGTGAGCCATTTAACCTTGAAATTATGCTTTTATTGTAAAGTATGCCTGAGTTATAGAACTACAAAGAGGGCTGGGTTTGTTCACTTGTTTTGCCATAATCTCATTGTTGTGTTAGTGGAAAATCTTTCTAGATTTCATCTACACCGCACAATTTACTGCTAGTAAAAGTCATAGCACACTACAGGTATAATAATAATAATAACCTTTATTTAACCAGGTTTGTCACATTGAGATCAAAAAATCTCTTACAAGAGAGACCTGGCCAAGACTGGCAGCATACAGAGAAAAAAAACACTCAGTTACAACACATGGTCACAGTAAACATAGACTTACAATAAAACAAATGACTCAATTAAAACCATTGCACTTCTGCAACTTGAACATCATGGGATCTATCATGGTATTAAATACATTAAGAGATACTAGTGTTCTAAGTTTAAGCTTTGATTTCAAACTGTTCCATGAGGTTGTAGCAGAAAAGCTGAAGGCTTTCTTCCCCTTTCTGTTCTGACACGAGGACACTAAAATTTAAAAAGTCTTGAGAGGTCCTGTTGTTTAAAGTTAGCAAAGATTAAAGATAAGGTGCTGTCAACTTAAGAATAGCCTTGTAAATCAAAACATACCAATGGCCAAGCCGGCGTACATACAGAGACAGTGCTGAGTTAGGGCTCCATAATTTGTAATAAACCGCAAAGCGTCATGATACACGCTATCCAGCATGTGAAGACATTGAGCAGAGGCGTTCATGTATAATACATCGCCACAGTCAATGATCAGAAAAAAGTTGACTCCACCAATTTCTGTTTTACCCTAAAAGAACAGAAGAATTTATTCTGAAAATAAATTTCAAGTAAAAGCTTCAGTTTATTTACAGTAAAATGAATGTGTGCTTTAAAAGACAATTTGTCATCAATTAAAAATCCCAGATATTTGAATGTAGATACAAATTCAATTTGTTGACCATCACTAGTAGTGACGAGAGACTGGTTTGACCTTGCTGTTGTTGAGTTGCTGAAAAATATTAGCTTTGTTTTGTCAACATTCAAAACAAGTTAAAGCTGACAACATTGTTCTTGTATTCTATTAAATGCATTCTGCATGTATGCAAATACATCTGTGGGCGTAGGTGCAAAGCAATATATGACTGTATCATCTGCATGAAAATGAATTGCTGCATTTGAAATATTCTTTCCAAAATAATTAATATACAAGATAAATAACAAAGGGCCTAGTACAGAACCTTGTGGTACCTCCTTGTGAATAAACTGAACTCCTGAACAGAAACCATCTAACTGGACAGCCTGAGTTCTATCTTTAAGATGCAGTAGTTTGCAAACCATCCAACTGTAATTGTAGAAAACCCAACTGTTGTTAGACGGTTAAGTAGAATGATGTGATCCACAGTATCAAAGGCCTTAGAGAAATCTATAAATGGTGAAAAACAACACAGATTTTTATCTAGAGCTTCTGTTATATCATTTAGAACCTTTAATGCTGCAGTGGTAGTACTATATTTTTTACGAAATCCTGATTGAGAAACCGAAAGAATAGAATTAGTGGCCAGATATTCTTTTACTTGTTCACGAACAAGGGACTCTAAAGACTTAAGCAAGCACAGATAATTTAAAAATAGGTGTATAATTGTTTTAAAAAAAATTGTTGGATCTCCTCCTTTCAAGAGGGGAATAACAAATGCAGATTTCCTAACTTTGGGAATTACATTGGTCAACAAACATATTAAAAATGTGACGCAATGGAGCAGCTACAATTACAGATGCCACTTATAAAACATACGGTAGGTTCCAATTTATCTGGACCTGGGTTTTTTGTTTGTTTGTTTGTTTTTTGGGGGGGTGGGGGGTGGGGGGTGGTATAGGCTTTTTTAAAGCTTTAACTACCTCTGCTATTGAGAAGGGTGTTAAGTTAAAAGCTTGAACATTGTCTCGGGCTCTGTCAGCCAGTGGTGAACCATTTGAGGACTTTTCAGAAAGCAAGAGGTGTTTGGATGGGTTTTTTAGAGTTAAACAAAACTCCAGAGGAAATAAAACGATTGTTAAAATAATTCAGAATACTTACTTCATCAGTTATCCTGCTACCATCAATCAGAATACTAGAAGGGAAATTAACTGAGTTAGAGTCACAAAGATTTAATTGTTTTCCAAATTTAGGGAGATTTTTCAGCCCTTCGGTAGTAATAGACTAATAAAAGTCAGCCTTTGTATTTCGAAGAAGATAGGTAAATTTATTTCTCAGTTTGCTAAAATAAATCTAGTCAGCTTCCAGGTCTGATTTTTTTTTTTGTTTTGTTTTACTCTAAAGTATACCTGAGTATACAGTATGTATATGTTCTGCATGGGTTTTTTCAAAGCTACGTAGGGAATAGCAAATAAAAACTTGTGATGGAAAAAGAAGAAAAGCAACTGAACACCAACAAGGATGCTTCAATACTTTTGCATTGGCTCCTTCAAAAATAACACACATTGACAATAACCATCATGAAAATGTGATTTTTGTTTTTATGACTGAGTTGTTCCCTCTCTTGTCAGTGGTACACCAGTCCAGACTACAACCTGTTCGGGCCTTACGTAGATCACAGAAAGGTCCACCCTGACCAGCCCTTCTACATCCTTCACCCCAGCTATGTGTGGAAACTTTGGGATTTGATTCAGAGCAACACGCAGGAGAACATCCAGCCCAATCCTCCCTCTTCTGGCTTCATAGGTGAGTACACACACTCGTGCACACACACACATGCACACACACTCATGCACACACACTTGCCTATTTGTGGCTATGTGTAAAGTGGTTGTCTCTTATATTTCTGCTCCATTACTTGCTGCTCTGGCAGAAAGGCACACACTCATCCTTATCATTGTATCTTAGTGCCTTTCTTGCAACTGCAAGCCTAAACACAAATTTAATCCCAATTTAATCCTAAACCTAAACCTTAAGGCCAAACCTTCACTGGATGAATTTAAGATGCGGCTTCCTAGACTGCCTGTTTTTGGACCAAACATAGAGAAACCCAAGTTATTTTGAATTTTCATGCTCACTGTGCTCCATGGCATTATCAGCCTGCAATGCTGGTTTACTTCGATCTCCAAAGCAGCATGTTCGTGCCAGAGATTCAGAAATATGACAACCCCAGGTCCATCAGAGAAACTCATCACTGTGTCAGTATGAACTCTCATGGCTGTCGCCTGCTATAATTTAAAAATACATCTCTATCTATCTAAGTGTTCTTGGTCAGCTGCGTCTACAAGAAATATTGAAAGAGGCAACGAGGCTGGCAAAACAACAATTTGATCTACAACTCATTTCACTGCCGATTTTAAATGTACTTGTCATTTTATTTTTACCGTTTCAAGCTACATTGTCCTAACAAACATATTCGAAGTGGAGTGGATGAAACTATGAATGTCCTTTCCAAAACTAGTAAAAAAAAGTCAGTCAGAGTCAGAGAATTTTATTGTTATACACACCACATGTAGTGGAACAAAATTGTGTACACAGGGTCCCAGTTACATCCCACAATAAAATGGAAAAGAAAAACAGTAATAAGATCTAAGTTATGAACTAAGAAAAACATCAACTAAAAATACACTAAGCACTAACAGCATAAAAACAATACGCCAAACAGCAGCACGAACATGAGTCTGTGTGAGCACATGAGTTCGCATGAACACATCAACATGATGTGTGTGCTGGGTGAGTGAGGTCCTTCATGATGCAGGTGGCCCTCTTCCTGCATCTGGAGGTGTAGATGTCTGTGATGGGGAGGCTGACTCCAACAGACTTCTGTGCAGCCTTCACCACTCTCTGCAAAGCTTTTCTTTCTGCAGCTGTGCAGCCTCCATGCCACACGTCGATGCTGGAGCACAGGATGCTCTCCACTGCACACCTGTAGAAGGAGGTGAGGACTGAGCTTCCCAGACCAGCTCGTCCCAGCCGCCTGAGGAAGTAGAGTCTCTGATGAGCTTTCTTAATTTCTTTAAAAAGACTACAAACAAAAACAAAACTGTACATTAAGAGTCTGAGCTGAAGGTTGTAAAGTGTAAAAGAAAATAGTAAAATAGCTACAGCATAAGTTAAACCAAATTAAAACAAATGCCAGAGGGGAAAAAAGTGACATTTCCAACAATGTTCGATGCTGTATTGTTAATTTCAACAGCCCTGTTTTTCTGTGCCTTTCAGTAACTCTAAACCACTTAAGGTTAGAGGTGCTGTAAATTAGCTTCTTTGAGTTAGTTAGTTAGGCTGGTCGGTTAAACTTCTATATTTTTGCTGCTATAAGAAATAGAAAAATTAAGTTAAACTATGTATGTATTCTTTAGCTTATAAATATTTATTTTTCTTCAATGTGTTGATTTATGTTTATGATTTATGATTTATTTATGCTCCATATTGGTCCATCCTTTAAAATAACACAGTTCCTTTATCCACCCATCATGGGCTCTGACAATTCATTTTATTTTTCAGTTTTTTGTAACGACTCCAGGTAAATAAAAGTAAACGTGCATAACGATGATCTAAATCTGAAAGTTAAAGCTATCTTTATAAATTCCAGCAGGGGGTGAATCACGCAGTTGTAGAAACATTTCTACAGAGATCAATATTTAATATTTGACCGTCAGTTCCACTTTGTTACTTTGCTTAACATTTTTCAGACTCAGTCCGGAAAGGACAATCATCCATTTAGTTCAGAACCCCCCACATGTGCTTCTTTCCATGAAGACAGCGTTTAAATAATTAAATACTGCAAGAACCATTTTGCAGTTGAACAAACATGCAAGCAGCCTGCGGGACAGTGAGGTTGTTGGCACAGAGCATAAATATTTCAGTAAATGCACTGTTGCATAAAAACACTAACTACATGGGGACACAAATAAGTCCTTCTTGCCTGAACTAACAGCTCCTGGAGGTTCTGATGCTCAGATGCTGTTTTAGGTCTAAGTACGGCACGATGATCATTTTGTAAGTTCTAGTCCAGTTCAGAATCAAATAAATTAAAAAGGAAGCTTTGGACGGAGCTTCAGTATGTAAATACACGGCTACAGGGCTATTGATAATGAACTGCATGATAGGAAAACAAGAAATGGCAACATTATTTTTTGAGCATTGTGATGGCAACATCAATTGAAATGAACCCACTTATTTTGAAACTCCGGCTTTTTTTTTCTGTTTTGCCATCACAGTGCTCAATACTCTACATTTGCTTTTCTCTTTTAGTGACTATCATCTAAATCGGCTGTGGGCATTTGGAGCAGTGATGGTCAGTTGGACTGCCAAATATATTATTATAGTTTGTGTCTGCAGTTTATTTGCAGTGTTGATATTACACTGAGAATATATTGCGCAGCCTTATGAGTGCAGCAGAGGGTCGCAATGGCAGGGTGTACAATCTGTGAAGTTTAATTTTAAACAACCCATCATGGATTTTTAATAAGATAGGAGAAGCATGTTATTAACAGTCAACCATGAATTCATGTTGCAATAAATTTGAAAAATGTACATGACTTAAGAGTAAAAAATATTGAGTTGGCATATGCGAAAGGTCTTTAAATGGTAATTCCTGCCATTAATCAACAACAACAACAACAACAAAAAAGGTAAACCTTTTTTTTTATGGGTTTCACTTCAGAGATTCTGTTCATGTAAATGTTTGTGCAAAAAGTGGTTATGGCTTAAACACAAAATAATATAATGAAGCCAGAAATGCTCATTAATGCATTTTAGTCTCATGATTATCTGAATCTGAAACAACTTTAACATTTTTATCTATGAATTTGCAATCATGTCTTTGTTTAAAACAGGTCTCTCTTGTAAATGAGTCCTCGAGGCTCAATGAGACTAACCTGCATAAATGAAGGTTGACTGAATGCATGAAATAAATAGTTTGGTCCCAATATACTGCTTACACAGATGTTCTCTAATTGTTGGATGGTAGTACAGTCCTTAATTGTGCCACAAAAACAGGCTGCGGCACCCTCAGCACCTCTACATCCCACAGCTTTGATAATTAGTGACTAAAAGTTGTTTCAGGACAGCAGGGAACCATTTCAGTCTTTAGCTATTCTATGTAGTAACTTTTTTTGGTGGGTTTTTGTTGAATAATTTAATTATCCCATCATAACTCATTAATCAAATAACCACAAAGAGGACATGGAGAAGATCTTTGCAACCCAGGTTTAATCTTGCAAGAGAAACAGCTCTGTTGAAAACCGGTGTACAGGATGTTGCATCACACCCGGATCACAAGGTTTGCACACAGAGAAAGAGTTAACAAAAGCTTAATACCTGTTATCAAACAAGGGCGAGGTCAATGTTCATCAGGTGCGCAGGCTCCGTGCTCCTGCAGGCTCCACTTTGCAAAGACAAAACAACTCTAACACACACATGGTTTGACATCATTTTACATTAGTAAATGAGAAACATCCATGACCTTTACATCCCCCATCAGTTTTAGTCAGGTACTCCAGTTTCCTCCCACAAATTAAAAACATGCATGTTAGTCTGAATGGTAACTGTAAATTGTCCCTAGGTGTGAGTGAGAGATTGAATGGTTGTTTGTCTCGTTTGTCTCTGTGTGTCCCTGTGATGGGCTGGAGACCTGTCCAGGGTGTCCCCCGCCTCTCACACAGTGACTGCTGGATATGGACACCAGAGACCCGAAAAGGAAGAAGCATGTAAAGATAATGAACGGATGGCTGGAACTTTTTTGTTTACACACAGACTGAACGGTGACAGTTTGTAATCTTTAAACTATTTATGTTCCAGAGGAGGCACTTTCTGAGCTCAACTGAGACTCTTGAGTGATGTAAGGGGATGTAATTGGTTCATACAGCAGGATACTTTAACTGGTTGAGAAAACTGAACATCCACTCAGTGCCCACATTAAAACTGCATTAGCATCGCTGAAGCAGAAGCTACTTAACTGTCGCTGCTGTCTCCTTTGACAGGCTTTGTCTGGATGTCACACAAGTCTTGGCTTCTATACGTCTAAAACCAAAAACTTTAAACACTCCACACCACTCAGCACATGATCCACGTGTCACGAACCTCAATGTTGGAACCCAATTGCAGAGAGATGAGTGAGGCAGGAGTTCAAAAATCAAAACAATTTATTCTTTTAACCACAAAACAAAAGGCTGTCGGTGCAGCAAAACTTACTTTTAGCAGATTGGATAGTGCAGAGCAGATCATCAGGGTAGCAGAAAACAGACAAGGCAGAAGAGGATTGTGATGTCTGAGTACATGGAACAATCACCGGACAAGGAGTGAAGGAAAGAAAGGCTTTTTATGTGACAGAGGGAGAGTTAGTAACGAGAGCACCTGGGCAAGTGGCTGATGAGGGACAGGTGTGAATGATAAAGACAGAGTGGAGAAGCAGACTGAGGAATGAGTGGAAAAATAACAGAATCAGATAAACAGAAAATCACACCCAGAGCAGAACAACAAAAAACATAAAAAGCAGACAGAGACAGAACCAGTCAAACAGAACTCAGAATTAAAGTGACACATTTACAAAGCACCTTGAAAAAGAAGGAAATGATTTAGTTTGTGAGATAACAGGAACAGATACACAAAAGCAGAAGACACACAAGGAGCAGAGGCTTAGGCAGATGGGGGGGGGCAGCGGGGACCGCTGACCGTGACAGTTGGTTTCTTGGTTGCAGCTTGAAGGAGGTGGCAGAGGCTTGGCAGATGAGGGGGGCAGCGGG